TGATACCAAATCTCCATTTGTTAACACTAAACCTAGTATGGCCTCTTTACGAGTTGGCTCCTCAATGATTTGTTTGAGAGACAATTCCATTAGGGAGTTTACAATAAGTGTGCTCCTGGCACAAGTAGCTATTTTTGTTTTCCAGTTCACATCAGGAAGATTAAAGTCACCCATGATGATAACTTCCCCCATCATTGCCATTTTAGCTATTTCCTCAACTAGTAGATTATCTAACTCTTCTATTTGTCCTGTGGGCCTATAAATCACAAGTTACTGTGTGATTACCAAATTCTAACGTAACCCAAACGTACTCTATGTTTGCCTCACTAACTTTTATTAGGCTAGATTTTATGCTATCCTTCACATACAAGGACACCCCTCCCCCTTTCTTGCCTTCCCTATCTTTCCTATATAAAGAGTACTCTGGTATTGCTATGTCCCAGTAATTTTTCTCATTGTACCATGTCTCAGTAACAGCGACTAAATCTACACTATCAGTTGCCATTATTGCAACAAGTTCATGGATCTTATTCCCTAAACTGCGAGCATTTGTAGACATGACTCTAAGCTTTTCCTTTTTAACACACATTGCTACAGGCACCTTCTGTCCTTGTTTTGGGGGGCAATTGGATTGATGTTGTATCACCCTTTTGACACCCTCCCTCCTTCCTTCCCTCCCTCCTAGTTTAAATACATCCTAGCAAAACCTTTGAACTGCTCACTGAGGACATTTGTTACCTTTTGAGAAAGATGCAAACCATCCTTTTTGTACAGTTTATTTCCATTCCAAACAGAGCTACCATTAGAAATAAAGCCAAATCCTTGCTCCCGACACCATTCACCAAGCCACAAGTTAAAGTCCGTAATACGCATCCACCTGTCGTTTTGAGTGTTATGCACAGGCAGAACTTCAGAGAATGACAGTGTGGAAGCAACCTGCCAAATATCATTGGCAAAAACACTAAAAACTTCCTTTACCTCTGTAACTTCATTGCCAAGTCATTTGTCCCTAGATGGGCAAGTACATCCAATTCCCCTTCCTGCTTTGCTTGCTTAACAATATATTATAAATGTGTCTCCTGTCTCTGTGAGCAGGAGCTCCAGGAAGATATCTTACAAAACCACTATTGTCCAGCTCCACACCTCTCATGATAGAATCCCCCAACAACAATTGCTTTCTATTAGGCTTCACCATAGTATTCCTAACATTCTAGAGTTCATTTAAAGCTCTAAACTAGAGTTGAGCGAACCCGGACTGTAAAGTTCGGGTTCGTACCAAATATTACGTTTTTGGACCTCGGACCCGAACACGGACATATCACTGTATGTTTGGGTTGGAGTTCGGGGTTCGGTGATATAATGGCGTGTTTTGAAAGGCTGCAGGGCAGCCAATCAACAAGCGTTTGACTCGTGTGCCCTTAGAAGCCATCACAGCCATGCCTACTAATGGCATGGCTGTGATTGGCCAGTGCAGCATGTGACCCAGCCTCTATATATAAGCTGGAGTCGCGTAGCGCCGCACGCACATGAGGTCTTATTAGTGTAGGGGGAGGATGCTGCTGCTGTGAGGGACAGCTTAGGAAATAATTCTGCAAACTAGTACATTAGTGGGGTGCACTTCATATCTGAGAGTCAAATAGAAGCGTCAAATACCGCAGTTACATCGCAGTTTTAAAAAGTCAATTTTATTTTGGTGCTAAATAGTACATTAGTGGGGTGCACTTCATAACTGAGAGTCAAATTGAAGCGTCAAATACTGCTGTCACATTGCAGTTTAAAAACTTAAAATTTTTTGGGTGCTAAACTGCTAAATAGTATTTTGGTGGAGTGTACTTCATATCTTTGATTCAAATAGAAGCGTCAAATAGTGCGCTTACAGCGCAGTTGTAAACATTCCTTTTTTCTGGGTGCTAATTTGCTAAATAGTACATTTTGGGGCCTGCTCTTCATATCAGAGAGTCAAATCAAAGCGTCTAATAGTGCGCTTACAGCGCACTTGTAAAAATTCTAATTTTCTGGGTGTTAATCTGCTAAATAGTACATTTTGGGGCGTGCACTTCATACTTGAGAGACAAATAGAAGCGTCTAATAGTGCGCTTACAGCGCACTTGTAAAAATTCTTATTTTCTGGGTGCTAATCTGCTAAATAGTACATTTTGGGCATGCACTTCATATCTGATAGTCAAATAGAAGCGTCAAATACTGCGGTTACAGCGCAATTGTAAAAATTCACATTTTCTGGGTGCTAATCTGCTAAATAGTACCTTTTGGGCATGCACTTCATATCTGATAGTCAAATAGAAGTGTCAAATACTGCGGTTACAGCGCTATTGTAAAAATTCACATTTGCTGGGTGCTAATCTGCTAAATAGTACATTTTGGGGCATGCACTTCAAATATGAGAGTCTAATAGTGCGCTTACAGCGCAGTTGTAAACATTCTTATTTTCTGGCTGCTAATCTGCTAAATAGTACATTTTGGGGCATGCACTTCACATCTGAGAGTCAAATAGAAGCGTCTAATAGTGCGCTTACAGCCCACTTGTAAAAATTCTAATTTTCTGGGTGCTAATCTGCTAAATAGTACATTTTGGGGCGTGCACTTCATATCTGTGAGTCAAATAGAAGCGTCTAATAGTGCGCTTACAGCACACTTGTAAAAATTCTTATTTTTTGGGTGCTAATCTGCTAAATAGTACATTTTGGGGCCTGCTCTTCATATCTGAGAGTCAAATAGAAGCGTCAAATACTGCGGTTACAGCGCAATTGTAAAAATTAACATTTTCTGGGTGCTAATCTGCTAAATAGTACATTTTGGGGCGTGCACATCATATCTGAGAGTCAAATAGAAGTGTCCAATAGTGCGCTTTCAGCGCACTTGTAAAAATTCTAATTTTCTGGGTGCTAATCTGCTAAATAGTAAATTTTGGGGCATGCACTTCATATCTGAGAGTCAAATAGAAGTGTCCAATAGTGCGCTTTCAGCGCACTTGTAAAAATTCTAATTTTCTGTGTGCTAATCTGCTAAATAGTACATTTTATGGCATGCACTTCATATCTGGGAGTCAAATGGAAGCGTCTAATAGTGCGCTTACAGCACACTTGTAAAAATTCTTATTTTCTGGCTGCTAATCTGCTAAATAGTACATTTTGGGGCCTGCTCTTCATATCTGAGAGTCAAATCAAAACTTAAATAGTGTGCTTACAGCGCATTTGTAAACATTCTAATTGTTTTGCTGCTAATCTGCTAAATAGTACATTATGGGGTCTGCTCTTCATATCTGAGAGTCAAATCGAAGCATCAAATACTGCGGTTACAGCGCAATTGTATACATTCTAATTGTTTTGCTGCTAATCTGCTAAATAGTACATTTTGGGGCCTGCTCTTCATATCTGAGAGTCAAATCGAAGCATCTAAAAGTGCGGTTACAGCGCAGTGGTAAACATTCTTATTTTCTGGCTGCTAATATGCTAAATGGTACATTTTGGGGCCTGCTCTTCATATCCGAGAGTCAAATCGAAGTGTCTAGTAGTGCGCTTACAATGCACTTGTAAAAATTAAAATTTTCTGGGTGCTTATCTGCTAAATAGAACATTTTGGGGCGTGCACTTCATATCTGAGAGTCAAATAGAAGCGTCTAATAGTGCGCTTACAGCACACTTGTAAAAATTCTTATTTTCTGGGTGCTAATCTGCTAAATAGTACATTTTGGGGCGTGCACTTCATATCTGAGAGTCAAATAGACACGTCTAATACAGCGCACTTGTAAAAATTCTAATTTTCTGGGTGCTAATCTGCTAAATAGTAAATTTTGGGGCATGCACTTCATATCTGATAGTCAAATAGAAGCGTCAAATATTGCGCTTACAGCGCAGTTGTAAACATTCTAATTGTTTTGCTGCTAATCTGCTAAATAGTACATTATGGGGTCTGCTCTTCATATCTGAGAGTCAAATCGAAGTGTCTAATAGTGCGCTTACAGCGCAGTTGTAAACATTTTAATTTTCTGGGTGCTAAATAGTACATTTGGGGTGTGCACTTCATATCTGGTGTATGTGTGCAACACTGGCTAGTTACCGCTTCTCAAGAAAGTCTAAAGGCAAATAAATGTTGCCTATGGTGCAGGTAGTATAGAAGGCAAGACTGAGACAAATCATTCGGGTTACGTTTGCCTGTTGACATGTTAATTATCTTAGACCATTAAAATTCAATAATCAATGAAAAAACACACTAAGTGTCATACAAAAATATGTATTATTGACTAGTTAAAAACAAGACTACAAGTCATGCTATAACAAAATTAAACAAGTTTTAAAATATGTATTGGCCAACCAGTGGCTGTAAAAACAAAGTGTTACTGGTTACATTCATGACTACACACTGTAGTGAACAGGACCTTCATGTAGTGTGCTTTTTTTTTTAAATCATACAGCATCCTTTCATGTGCTTTTCAGATGTCATATTGTGAATTACCAATTTTAGTTTAGCCTGATTTTTTTTTTTTTTTAAGTGAAAAATACGTGTTATTGTGATCGCTTCATATACAGAAGCATTAATACACATTTCTATATTGTGTAAAGACACAACTACAAAGTTAAAAACCAAACACCAAAACAACGTGCCAGACAATCTACCTGTGCATGGCTAGTGTGATACAATAAGTCTACATCTTAAAAATGCAATAACCCACTGAAGATGGGCGAGAATTTTTTTTGCAAATGGAACTTTGATTTGAATTTACTACATCGGTCACTTGTAATATTGTTTCACACCTACAACACTTGTTACACAGATCTAAGTGATAGAAAACAGATTGATATTTTCTACACTAGAAACTACCAGATAACAAGCTGTTATATTTAAACCAGTTATCAATAGCTAAGAGGTACTTAAACAATATTGTAATTATGGGGCAATACCCTCACAAATCAAACTTTTTATAGGGAAACTGTTGCCTGGATACAGTTCTAAAACAATTTCCATATGTCCTTTGAAGACTTTACCTTCCTTGCATGTGGTAGCCGTTTGTCAGGGTCCCTGTACGGAATTGAACCCTGATTCCCCATTACCCGTGGTCACCATGGTAGGCGCAGTCAATAGCATCGAAAGTTGATATGGATTGACATACGAATGAGTCGTCTTCTCGTTGAGGAGTACATTGAAAAAGTGCTCTAGCATGACGAGCTGGGTTATCTCCTCCGGGAACTTGGCTTGATGGGAGTTGAGACAGTTCCGGGTGGCCCTTGTGATGCTACGGTGTATACCCAGATATATCAGAGCTGCTGCAGAAAGTACAGGCTGTCTGTGCGCGCTTTTGGCATTCTCACCCTGCTGCTGCTCGCTTTTTTTATATGTCCCAATATTTTGGGGGCTACCCCAATTAAAAAAAAAAAAATTAAAAACAGTGTTGGCTACCTCTTTGTAATGGTATTTATTAATTAATGACTTTACATCATAAAGAAAGCATATTTAGTGTAATGCTTTGGGGGCACCACTAGGGGGAGTGTGTAGGAAGACATGTGCTTCTGGCAGTGACATCACAGGCCAGCCTACTTACACTGAATAAAACCAGATGGAGGAGAAAACTCTGTCTCTTTGCCTGTACCTGACTGAACCTAAGATGTAGTACCAGCTCTGACTTAACCCCAGCCAAAGGGCTGGGGCCTTGTAAGTAATATGTTGTAGTTTTGTATTATCATTATTGTAGTAAATTGACATTCTGCTAGCATCTGTTTATTTATTATAGTTATATTATCATTATTGTAGTAAATTGACATTCTGCTTGCATCTGTTTATTTATTATAGTTATATTAAATATACATGTAATATTACAATGTTTTGTGTATTTTCTATCCACATATTCGACCATAATACCATGAATTATAAAAATATTAATGTTTTTCCGTATTGCTTAATTATTATGTATTAAGAGATTAATATTCATATTTAGGTCACGACCACAACATTTGGCGTAGTCGGCAGGATTATGCTTGAATATTGGGGAAAACATAAATGTTATGCATTTTGCTTAAATCATACTGTAAATTGTCTGTCTGTATACAAATTAATAAATGAATGATGATTTGGTTTTAATGGAATGAATGCAGATAGCAAATAGGGATTAGATATTTGTTTTTGATGTATCTCTTGCTGTAGAACATAGTGATGAATTATTGTGTTGCTTGGCACCAATCTTTGGTCATTTGTATATAGGAGAAAACTTATATATACTTTACCTTTTGTCTGACCATGTGGATTTTAATCCACCATTGACCACATGGTGTGAATGAGTTGAGGCCTAGTTTCATTGTTTGCTACCATTTGCATAGGAAAAGACTTTTCACTAAACTAGTTCACCAGGTTTTATTGCTAAATTTGACCCTGTTTGTGTACTAATTTACATTTGTTTGGCATTCATGGATTTGTCTAGTAAATTAGTAGTTAAGAAAAAGATACGTTTAGTAAAGCAGATTCAGTGAATAATAGATTTATGTGTGCGTATACACAGAATATTAGTATAAATATATATATGATTTTGACTCATGAAGGAGAGACCACCTTTTTAACAGGTGTGTGACCATGCTTTTCAGCTACAGCTGGGGGAGAATTTGTCCTTGTTGGGGGTGGGTAGTCTTGCTGTATGAGAAAAAATAAACTGCATTGTTTTGTAAATGTAATTGCCTAAACTAATCAATTTGTGGAGTGTTTTTCAGCTTTATTATCCAGGACTAAGGAATTACTGGACATATGCAGGAACTGGTAACAAATGAACTGAAAAAATGGTAAAATAATTCCTTTGTCCTATAAAGTCTGAATATTTTAACAAGTTAGCATTTTTAACAAAGTAAGTGTAGGGGCTCAGATTAAGATTTATATTATTTTAGAAGCCATCTATAACTGATTTTAATATTTCCATGCTTTGAATTAGGGTGTATCTGCCTAGCGGGTGAACCTCCATAACGTGGGCTGTGATTTTAGTTACAGTAGCGGGTGGGGAACCTGAGCTAGGGGGTATTTAAACGTGTCCGGATAAGGGGGAGCATACCCAATAGTTGTTGTGCAGTTCTATCCTGTATTATTATTATTTGAAACCCTGTATTACTTATAAGTAGCGTTTTGTAACTTATTTGTAATTGTTTATATATATTGCTCTGGGAAAGGGATAGGCAAAATCTCTGAGAGACCAGGAAATATATTTTAAAAAAGGGCGTATTACACTAGTGGTAGGGTGGCCTATCATGACCATAGAGACCCTTGGTGACTAGTTTTTGTTGTATATTGCCCTGGGAAGGGGATACGCTATTTAATAGAAATTCCTGAGAGACCAGGAAATATACAATAAGTGATACGTGAGTGTACTGGTTAAATTGCAGACATATTGGCCCAGAACCTTTAATCAAGCCGGAAAAGAGGCTGCTGTATGTTTGTTCCTCTATAATTTTGCGGGGGCGGTCACCCCCATGCGGAAAGCCACTGCCATCACAGGGTGGTTAGTTGTGCAGGCCCTTAGCCGCGAGGTGCAAGCATGTCCGTGGAAAGGCTAGAAATTAATAGGGAGTCACTCATAGCTCATAGTGTTGAACTTTGAGACATATTGACTTATATCCTTTCCGAGGCGGAAGAGGTGTTGTGGTTCACTCCTCTATAATTTAACCAAAGGGTGGAGAGTTATTAAACATGTTTAGGTTGGCTAGAAATGTGTTTCCTGAATTGCAGAGAAGATGCAGAAAGCAGCTATTAGCTTATTGTTTTTTAAGAGCCTTGTAAAAAAAAAAAAAAAAATTAAGAAAGTTATCTTGTTGAAAAAAATTGTTTATAAAATGAAAAGTTGAAGGAATGTGTTTACATGTCTGTGTGTGTGTATATATATATATATATATATATATATATATATATATATATATTCTAAGTAAAATATTTGCAGTATACGCTATAAGTGACTAGGAAAGTAATCCTGATCTGTTTTCAGCTTTTCAGATGTAGCAGAAACCAGAGGTGGACATTGGAACACAGATAGAATATCAGATGGAGACCAGTGTTTAAATGTTGACCTTTGATGAGCTATTGAATGTTTTATTTTATTGTCTATTTAACATGTCTATGCTATGATTTTGTGCATACTATTCTCTTATTTCTAGTGATTGTATTGCAATTGAAACCCTTATGTATTATTGTTGTATGTATGTATGTATGTATGCTTGCCTGGGAAAGGGGGGAATTGACCCATAGGGACCAGGGGGTATTTTTGTGTAAACCAAACTGGGGTGGGAGGGCTCTAACGAGGGAACCCCATTGTCCAGTAGGTGCTTGATTTGTGTCTGTGTAAAGTGCATGAGTGGTTGCAGTACAAAAAAAAACAAAAAAAAAAACGGAAGAATGATAAGAGGGATAAGAGAAAGTAGGCATTTTGGGTTATCTATACATGTTTAAATAGAAGGGTGGTAAATAGGAATGTAATTGTTTTGGTTAATGTTTAGATTAAATTGGTTAAATACAGCAGTGATAACGAGTGTTTAGATTAAATTGGTAAATGCAGCAGTAATAACGATTGTTTGGGTTAAATTGGTAGATACAGCAGTGATATTGTGTTTATCTGTGAATCAGGAGTGTGCTGGATGTGAAGAGAGGTGTGTAGGTATTTATCCAAACGCCATAGGAAAAAATATGGTTAAGACACCACAGTCAAATGGTACTTGTGATGATTGGCACAGTTATTATTTATGTTTGTGTTCGTCATTGCCTGTGTTTTCATTCAAGAACTTTCAAGCAAGGATATTTTAAGCAGAAGAAGAAGAAGCACTGGACACTATGCTCAACTGTTGCTCTAAGGAGAAAAAATATTGCAGCTAAGAGTGGTGAGAGTCAGAACAAAATGCATCAGGAGCAGGAAACTGTTACGTCAAGGTGGTTAATGGTATAAAGAAAGAAAAAACAAAACAATGTGACCACAAACACACAAAAGTCCTTGATCACATGAACTGTTTCATTCATCCCTGTCTCCATGCGTATGTTCTATGAGACTGTCGAAGAATAGAGTATTCCAGTTTCCAGGACTAATGTTTCTGAAAATTCCAGGCACACAGACCAGCCAGAGGCTACAGAAATCGAATCGGTCTGTGCCATGATTCATAGGTGTTATGAGTTTGTGGTGTCTAATACTATATTAAGCTCCAAAACACATCCTCACATGAACACAATATCATTGGTTAAACTAATAAAACATGGTTTGAGTTGTTCATTATTATAAGGGTGGGTATGTGCCTACTTCCCAACTGGTAATGCATGTGCTCAATGGTGAACATTTATATAAGCAATAAAATGTTAATGGGTAATAATTAATGGGTAAATGGGTATCGTTCTTCAAAAGGTGGGTTTTGTTGTAGGGCAGGTAGTGTTAAAATGGGGAAGATTCACAATTTACTGGTTTTATAAATGCTTGTTTTATGACATAAGTCAAAGGGTGGTTTGTAATGGTATTTATTAATTAATGACTTTACATCATAAAGAAAGCATATTTAGTGTAATGCTTTGGGGGCACCACTAGGGGGAGTGTGTAGGAAGACATGTGCTTCTGGCAGTGACATCACAGGCCAGCCTACTTACACTGAATAAAACCAGATGGAGGAGAAAACTCTGTCTCTTTGCCTGTACCTGACTGAACCTAAGATGTAGTACCAGCTCTGACTTAACCTCAGCCAAAGGGCTGGGGCCTTGTAAGTAATATGTTGTAGTTTTGTATTATCATTATTGTAGTAAATTGACATTCTGCTAGCATCTGTTTATTTGTTATAGTTATATTAAATATACATTTAATATTACAATGTTTTGTGTATTTTCTATCCACATATTCAACCATAATACCATGAATTATAAAAATATTAATGTTGTTCCGTATTGCTTAATTATTATGTATTATGAAATTGATAATTCTGGTGATCCTCCTGACAGCCATGCTTTAGATTTTGATTTATGTTCTTCTAAAGCTAAAATCAAAGATTCCATCTAGTGCTATTTTATGGCTCAGCTGTATTTTGAATTTTTATGTTATTTTAAGTGATTTCCCTATCCACATTTGTTTGCAGGGCACCTGTCCTACTCTTACCTCCATTTTACTTCCTTTTGCAGCCCTCTAGCCCTTTCCAGGACTTTTTAAGAGGCATTTTTGGGGCCAAAACTTCAATGGGGTTCGGGCAGGGCTGTCTTTAATATGTATTGGACCCTGGACAAGCATTTGCTTGGGCCCCCTGGACCCCTCCATCTTAAAGAGGTTACTGTGCAAGGTGAGTGTGCTAGGGCGGTGTGAATGAGACAAAGTTGGGCAGTGAGTGTGACAGGCTTGGGGGCATTAAATTGACACGGTGGTGTGGTATGGTTGAGGGGTGAGTGTTACAGGGTTGGGGTGAATGTGGCATGGCTAGAGGAGGAAGTGTGACACGATTATGGATTGAATCAT